TATTACAACTGAGAGTCTGTATTCTTTGTTCCTCCGCATCTCATCGGTCAGTTCATTGACAACAATTCTCGTTTCAACACTCTTTTCGAAGCTCTATTCAATCAGCGTGCCACTCTGGGCACACCTACAGAATTAAACGATAAGTGCTATCTTCACAAAATTTTACTTGTATACTCCTCCAAGCCTAATTAGACTGCCTACCTTTTTTTTAAATCAAAACTCCAACTTTAAAAGGCAGCGTGCCGGAAAGGGTTAAAGAACTAATGGTACACCCAAATTAACTCAGCTCTAATTGTAACCCAAAGCAAGTATGTGAATTAGATAAAAAAATTCTTACAACTTTTCAACTACTCATATCTATAGAATCATGACGGAGAGCAGGAAATAGGCTCTGAAATTACTTACGTTGAGAGACAAAAAATTAAAGAGTAAATCAAATGCAAAGTGTTATTCGCAAAATATTATTCCACCGTCCTTGACTCCATACCAACAAATAAGACATACGGAACAAATATTTGGGGTAATAAGACATGCTGAAGCAAACGGGAGCAATTTCAAACCTATAAGAATGTTTCATATAATTTTTGGAAGTCAAAGGTTCTATTGCCCAAGGATTGATAGCGTTATTGTTAGATAACTGAACCAGAATAATCTTCAATTTGATAACCGCAGATGTCAAAGATGTGATAATAGTGCATATATGAAAAGAGCAAACATGCGAGCGCTTTGCTGAAGATTTGTGATGTTAACGAACCATGTGGGTATCACTTCTTAAATTCTGTATTCAATGATATTGCTAATTTAACTGTCAACACAATATTTATATACCGAATCCTTCATCGTAAAGTCTTTTTTCTGGATCAGTAAAAACTGAAACATTTTCTATCCTTAGGTTGAAGATCTAACTGTTAAACCACTTTAAGTCAAATTAAAGGAATCTATAATTGAACTTGTCACCTTATTTGAATTCCAAATGAAAGATATTCACGAGGTTGTGATTGATCTTTCCAAACATTCTTCTCAGGATGACACTGCTCGAAGTAAAAATTTAGTACAGCAAAACCAAATATCAATTTATAGTTCCTTTAATTTAGTAGACATTTGATGTTATATTTTCTCCGAATCAACCATGTAAGTCAATCTCTTTAACGTCTCGTATGTGACACTTCAGATTCAGACTATCTTTAACATATGTGGAAAGGTTCCTTATTAAGTTTAGAGATAATAGGCTTAAAAGCGCTGTAATTGACGCTCGAGAATTGAGAAAAACGCTCAAAATCATTATAATTGGTTGAAAGAAACAAATAGCTGAATACGAATTTGTAACGGCTAATGCTCTTAGGGAGCATAAACTAGCTAGATATCAATACACGTTGAAAGGAATTATCCTTAAGTACGACAATGTCCAGAGAAAGATTGTAAAGGACCCTTTATTAAATCAATAATTTCACAGATGGCACCAACTCGTGCTTATAAAAAGCCAAAACTTTTTTTTTAAAACTCAAAATGTAACAACTTACTTCGAACAGAATTAAGTTAGCCTAAGGATTTTCACGGGTTACTTTACTCGCAGGTAGGCTTGTAGAGACATTAGGTATTTTTGGACGCAGCAAAGATGAAAAATTAGCAACCAGGAATCGAACCACGGACCTCTCGAATACGTGCCCAGCGTGCAGACCACCACGCCAAGAAGGCGGGAGAAATACCTTATATACTCCCCCCTTTTAAAGAGCGGCTGGGCCTTTTAGGATTTTAGCAATCGCCAAATCGCTGGGTGTCGGATGTCACTCTAGAGACATTAGGTAATTGTTGGAAGCAGGAAAGATGAAAAATTAGCAACGCGTTCGCCAGGAATAGAACCACCGATTTCTGGAATACGTGCCCAGCGTGCAGACCACCACACCACGAAGGCATGCCAAGAAGGCGTGAGAAATACCTTATAGGCTCTGACTCGTAAAAGTAGGCGTAAACACGACTAAGAGCTCAACGACACAGAAATCTAATCCCTAATAATTCGAAGATATCAACATGGCCTTCAGGCAGCACTCTCTCTTACTTTTCACGAAATGAATAAATTATTATATTTTCTCTTTCTTTTTTCCTCTTTCTTTCTTCACGCTCTCTCTCTCCCTCTTTCTCCGAATTCACCTTCTAAAACCTTCTCTTATATACTAACTTTTTTCTACCTCATTAGAATACCTACCTCATTTACATTCTGGCAAGGACGAGCGGATTGAAAGCAAGAGTAATAGGAGAGTTGCTTCAAAAACAATTAACTATTAAATAACTTAAATAGATCTCCACAAACGTTTCGACGAAGCTCCTGTAGATCTAAAATGATAGTTTCAAATCATTCCTTTAATGAATTTATAAATCAAGCAGTTCCTTAAACAACGGTTTTTAAGTAATTCAGCCTTTTTTATAATCATAGAAAGCTACATAATATTGCAGTAACAAGAAACTGCAAAAATATACAGAGCACTTTGTGGCGAAGGATAACTAAAAGGACGTTAAACAACCATTAGTCTGATATGAATGCTAAAGAGATGAACTCATAATTGTGAAATGCAGAGTATCTCAATTTCTTAAGTGGTTAAAAACACTAAAGAAGTTGTTTTTCTATATTCATATGTACTCTTTATAAGATTATCTAGCTGATGCATACTTCAGCAATGATGCATGCTTCACAGGTTTTTCTGTGTTGCAATTGATAACAACTTAATTGAGGTTAAGTTAAGGACAGAAAGCTGATTTCTCTTGTATACACGGCAATTGAAAATCAAATTGCACAGAAAAATACAATGCCATGGCATCATAGAAGATTCCCCTCATGAAGGCTCATTTGTATGCTACGAAAGATAAAGGTTTTCTCACTTTTTTTTTAAAATTAAACATATCTTTCTATTGGAAGTATTAATCCATTTTTTATATGCTAGGCGCCAAATGCATTGCTAGCCTACAGCGCCTAAAATGTTCAAGCCGGCCCAGCTCAGAATCTTACTGATGTGCAAAAAACTTTCATTATATTCCCGTTAAATAACAAATGGATTTTTAAACTTACTTTCTTAGTATTTGGTGAATTCTTACCAATCAGTAAACTAATTTATTGGAAGAAGCTTATAACCCAGAAACTAGGAATGATGTGTCACATTTCAAGTTTAAACTTTAGTTTATATGTGAGCTGGCGAAATTCCGTCTAGTTCGTCACTTAGACCGTGAAATCTAGCTGGTGATAAATTGTTTGATTTCAACGCAGTGTTGAAACTTATCTGTGCATATTTCATCACATTTCGAGTTCCTGATTCGGGAAATATATATACGGAATTTCAGAATGGACGTTGTTGATAGTTTTAAAGCTTTATTAGAAATTATACTTTTGATAACTTTCAATTTTTTAATTCCACTTCTGTTTGATATTTAAAATGAAACTTGATATTCATTGAAAGCTGTAAAAGGGAACACTTCGATAAAAAAACAAAACAATAAATAAATAAAAGAATAAAGATGCGAATTCCTGATGAATGAAGATTAATAAGGATGTTTTGAAAATGCAGACAGTGTTATTAACGTCCGTCTTTATTAATGGCCAAATTTCAAAATTAAAACTTAACATTACACTGAGAAACTAATACTACCAATTGTGTAACTGGTTCCAATTAAAATCTGAAATAATATACAATAAATATTAATAATTTACTAAATTAAAAATTTAATAATAAAATTAATAAATTAATAAAAAGGTTATAAATTAATTAATAAAATGAATAAATGTTTTCTAGCTCCAATTAGTCTTAATTAAAAAATTCTTCAATTTTAATTTTTAACTTCCAATTAATAATAGACAATTTACTGCCCCACACAATTTTTCCTAAAATAGGATAATCTTTTTAAAAAATTTTTTAAAAAATTAAAAATTTCCATAATAATTGCTATGTATGTGTGTGTGTGTTTGTTTATTATTTTTATCACTCCCTTGTTTTAGAAAAGGTATACGTTTACAAACGGAAAAGGAATTTTAATATTGTGCGAAAGGATAGTTATTTTATTATTTTTGGTTGTCTTATCTTCTATCACATTACTGCAATATCTTCATATATAATTTTGAGCAAGAATTTAAAATTTCTGTGTTTCGGAAATATATTTTTCCCTCTAGTTAGTATCTGACACAGTTTTTGAAAGTAAAATTACAATACCCTTAAGATATAACTATATCTAGAACTGAGTTTATTGAATGTAATGAGGAATTTAACATTGTAGTGTATTTTTGCAAACGAGAAATCTAACTTGCAATAATTAAAAATTTAATGCAGTGACTGCAAAATCTGTTAGATTACTGATTCAAAATTCATTCAGTTTAATGATTTAAATTTAATTAGTGTGTTTATTTAAAATAAGAGAAGACAGATAAATACTTAATACTTCTGCCTGAGTTAATAATTGATCTTTTGCTTCCACGAGGTTTGAGCTATCTCTTGAAATCAGTATAATTAGCTTGTAATTAGACACTAAGCCTATAACGTGTTAGGTAAATATTCAATATAATTTAACCTATATTTAAAATGGTGAAACGGAGGTCTTCAGTAACAATATACGAACGCTGATTATTACCATGCTCATTCGTCTCCTCTAAATATGTGAATACTTTATGAATCAAGCGAATATTTCAATCTTCTCAAATATTAGGGAATATATGGTACACATTTATAATGATGAATAATTAGAATCAATTTTAACATATTTACGTCAGCGAATTTTCATCAAAATTAGTAGCATGATCTTGGATAAGAATAACGTAAGAATATGTACTTAGCTTATTTAGTAATTTTATTAAAAAAGCAGAACAATTTTTGAAATATTGAGAATTGCAGAAACAAGCATTAAAAAGTTAATGATAATATACGCTTTGTAACTTGCTTTGAAAATTTATTACAGTCAGTTTTATAGCTTTCCTTCATACCTTAAGTTCATATAAACACATCAATAGAATTTAAATGGCTTACCTAATGATTTATTATCCTGATCCTTTTCTTCTTTGGCTAAGTTTCTAGAACGAACTTTATCTATTTTATATGTGTCTTCTATAGTGAATACAGAATGACCCTGCAAACATAAGATAAATCGATGAACTTTCTAAATAAATTTTAAAAAAGTAATTGAAACATATTAGTTTATATATTTCTCATAGCAACTTTTAAATTGCTTTAAAATCAAAAGTGAATTAGAATTTGTTTTTATAAATATGTTATGTAAATTTATATGCAGAATATAGTTAAAAATGTCAGGTTAATGCCACATTCTCGGTATATTTTAAACCAATATTCAGATAAACTGACATCCAAACTGAACAAATCTGACACATACAGAATAGAAAATTAAAAATGATGTCTCATAAATAAAATAAAATGTTTATTTTATGACTTTTAAATAAAGCAAAGGAACAGGAAACTGTAAATTCCGAATGCATAGTAAAATGAGGTCATATACACTCTCACTACAAACCGAAATTTCTAACATTCAGTCTTCAGAAGGATACAGCAGTTTCCAGCCCTTGTTATTCCAAAAGCAGCTTACAGTTCGGTAGTTAGCGTTTCAGATTCGACTATGTATTACATTCGAAATATGATAAATATGCTTTCTAATACGTCTTGACATGTTCTTTAAGAATGCGTCAAATAGCTACGTGAAAGTATGTCAACAGCATTTGCTTACCTTCGAGTTTTATAAGTTATGAGAGTCATAAAATGCTATACGAGTCTTACTGCTGGAATACCCAAAACGGCCACTATACACATTTGACACATATTAAAACGTCAAGTAACCTTATATAAGCAACTTGCCATCTTAACTAACTAACAGACCAGGATAACACAGTTACATTATATGAAAGGAGAAATTGGTGCACTGAAGGAAAGGAAATGAAACAGCAAGTGAAGAGAGAAATATCCTTTTACAGATTACTGATTTTGCTTGAGTTGATTGCCCCATCCAGCACTGAAGACTTTCTGCTTGAAATCCTGCAATTTTCCTCATCCAGCAACTTCACATGCTGAGTTAACGAGAATCGCCTTGGGTCATCACATATAATTCTGTTCTACATTTTCATAAATGACGCAGCTATGACTCTCAGTATACATAAGTTAACTACCTGTCGTGTCGTGAATATAACATTCAAGTTGTAAGTAATCTAATAATACCATCAAACTAGAATACAGCACGGATTATCGTAAATATTTCTCTGCAGTTGATGAATTTGCGTCTACTTATTTCACGATTTATACCAATAAATAAGGATGGGGCATTTAAGCATTTGAATACAGTGATACGTGAAAAATATTTTAGCATTATATATGCTGTATTAACGTTTTAACGGAACTATAAGATTTGAAAATTTTATTCTTAGTACCTTTTTAATTATTCTAGTCTTTTGAATTCGAACTTCAAATCCGTTTAATATTTAACTGAAAACATTTGAAACAGCATTTGTATTGGCATCTGATGGGAACGTTGAATAAAAAATCATATTTCTTATTTTGTAGTTATAAAGGTACTTATATTTTTAGTTATAAGGTATGTTTCCTTTACTTTCCGGATGTCTTCGTTTTGTAAGTGGATAGCACGTCCTACGCGTAATCTGGAAGTCTGGAGTTCGAATCTCGGTGAAGACATTGCACATTTGTCACATCTCTTGCATCAATAAACCTAATGATTCTGCAAGTGGCGCCCGAGCTAAAGGGTGGTAGACTGTAATTTTCCACCACCAGGATTTAGCAATTGCGTTCCTTCATCTTCCAGTCGCTCTTTAAAACGTATTTATCTCTCCTTTCCGCGTGCCTTCGTCGTGTAACTGGATAGCACCACTGTTGTCTAATCGGAAGGTTCAGAGTTCCAATTCCAGCGAAGACATTGCACATTTTTCACACCTTATGCATCGATAAATCTAATGACTTTACGTAGTGCTACGAAATAATTATTTAAGAATTTAAATGAGAAAATTCAAAAACTGATCTTATCATTTCCCCGGATTTTCTTAAGAGAAGTCCACAGCATTTTTTTATTCCTGTTAACTCTTGACTATTTTGTCTCTTTTTAATTTTATCTCCGTTAACTCTTGAAATAGAAATCTCATTTCTACATTTTCCTTGATCGAAAACGTTTTTAGAAAAATGATTTAAAAAAATCGTTTACGTAATTATTTTTGTCGAATTATGCTGAGAGAAATTAACTTCAGTTTTTGAAATGTTAAATATTAAATTACAACTATTCCATTTATCTACTTCATTACTATCTACTATCTTCATTATTATCTACTTCATTTATTAAATTACAACTATACTTTCTTTTCAAATATGTGTCTATTTTGGAAACACTAGTCTTAAAGTTATTTTAATTGAACGCATATTTCAAATTTTTCTTTCAATCAAGTGTTTCTTCTGTTGTGCTAAGGATAAGAGAAATTTGAGATGTGTAATCTCGAAAAGCATTTGGGGGTTCGAATTCGAAATAATTTAGCATTTGTCTCAGCTAATAATATTTAAAACTAATATTTAATTTTTGCAATTTATTAATTGTAATAATATTTTTAAAAATATTTTATTAAGGAAAACATACAGATTTGTGAAAAACCTAAAACGAAAATTGTTAATCACGCTTAAAGCAAATCTAAGATACTTTCCAAATAATTTCGTAGGGCGTATTTTAACTAACATTTTTTTTTACTTTAATCCTATTTTGTACCTGGCATTTTTTAATCGAACATTACCAAGGTGCCAATAAAGCTGCGTTTAATTAACGAGAAACACACCTTGAATATAGTATATCCTTTCTTTTCGTGATTTTAACCTTATGTCTAATATGAAATATTCCAGCTAATTAAAAATGCATATAAAATATTTTTTAGAATCCTAAACAGTAGTAATTTTTTTATACCAAATTGATATAAATTTTAGTACTTTATATCTTTATCCATTTGATGTAAAAATAAAATATTTTGATATCAGTTCTTAATACATAAACTTGTAAAGAAAAAGTGAATCAAAGATGATATAAAAAATTGCATCAATAAAAATATATTTAATTTTCTACAGTTACATGTAATAAAAGAAATTCTGTAGTGCACATTTACAGTATGTCTTATGATAATGAAATCTTTTGGAATTTAATATGTTTTCTAGACTTTATTCTCTATTTTCTGTAGTTATTTTGACGCTCATAATATTGATGGATAACTAGGAAAACGAATATTTACTTAAGAGCAAAATCTATATTTTATATATTTTTAATAAAATGAATGTAGTAATATGCCTAAATCAGGTCTTGGAAGCAAAGCAAAGATGGTAGCAATCCAGAAGAATTTTCCATCATTCTCGGAAAAAGGACGCATTTTAGAGAATTTTTCTTAGACGTTTCAGAATGTTGGAAAAAGTCGATATTATTTTGGAGAGAGTCCAGACTTCTCTTAAACGTGAGGGTCAAAAACTTAAAAGAACAACCGCAGGAATTTCAATAGAAACGAGGTATGATACCGTCACAAATTTTATTTCTAGACAGGGAGAAGAGATAAGAAAATGCTTGGTAATGTACGTGCAGAGTTTTATGAGCACTACATAAGTTTTTGCAGAGTGGAGTTGAACAAATGCTTCTTTTCTTCTTCTTCTTTTATCTGTCCTCATACTGTGGTAATGACATACAACTTAGGTACAGCTGTATATGTTCAGCAACATTGCTGTTATTATTCTTTTTGGTTTTGTTAAGAAACTGTGGATTTAAATTCCATATGGCATGCTTCCATGTATAAAAAAACCTTGGAAAACATTCACAAAATGTATTCTTGCAGTCTGGAATATCCGAGACTTTGCTCCGCTTTCAAATAATGGAAAATATTTCGCAAGGACTTTTAGACGTTAAAACTCTGAAGCTTTGCAAAATTCCTCCAACATAATCGTGCGAGTTTAATCTAACCTTTACATAACATTTTTTTCATTCAAAATAAATAAGTTTATAATTTTTACTTTTTGAGGATATTAGATATTGGTCGTCACTGCCATGCGAAGCACAAAATATTAAAAACTGATTAAACCAAAGGATAATAATTTTACATAAATTAAAATGAATTCATTTTTTAGAGTTTCTTAAAGTTTGAAAATTTCATAAAATTAAACTGAGAAATGTATGATTTGAAAAAAAAAATTAAAATGAAGACTGACACAATTATATATTAACACTGTAACACTATTATGCAATATTATCTATATGACTTCAATTTAAGCTTTTTATTTTCGTTAACATGAATTCATTTCCTATGGGTTCCATTACTTCTAAGAAAAGGTGCATTTAATAACTTATATATAATAACACAAAAGCTATGCTGCATATTTTAATCAGATTGAGGCATAAATATTAAAATACTTCTGCTTACTTGTTTTTCCTCAGGATGCCATGTTTTCGCTTTTAGTTTTAAAGTAATACTGATATTTTAATTATATAAAAGGTTTTGGTATCTTTAGAAAAATCCTCAAAGTGACATAAAGTTCTTACTCTTGAAATCGCTCCAAGTTATACCGCATTCTGCTTATTATGTTTTGAAAGTTACTTTGTTATGATAGTCTGGGTGATTTGAATATGGCAAAACACATTAGGTATATCTCTCTAAGAAAAGAGATGCCTTTGTGGAGGAACGTCTTAAAGAAAATTAGCTGATATTCACGTTACAGGTACAGTTCAAAGCAAGATCGGCAGCTCTGCATCCCATATGGACATATTAAACACCTCGAGGATTGCTAAGTGCTAATGAACTAACCTGGTTAGAATTCCAAGAACACCCCACTGGATGGCCCGAGAATATCACGAACTACTTGAGGGAACATTTGGCTGTAAATGTATTTTCAGTGCCCCCTTCCCAAACAGATGCTCTACGCTTACAGGCATCCATGCCTTCTCCGGGATTCGAACTCGGACCCTTCGGTACGGCATTCAGTGTCACTAAACACAATACCATTTCGGCGGGAAAAATATCAGTGCCTCCATGTTACTCACGGAGAACCACTAAAACCAATCATTCATCTAGGTTCTAGCTTCAGGAAGTACTGATAGATTTAAAGCTA